TTAAAGGAGAATGCTTTTATCAAGGTTTCACATGACAGACAATTTCCAAGCACAAAGACAAGATCATCAGAGGTAAAGAAAAAAGAACATCTGCGACCTATTTGTACCTTCACTGAAAAGCAGTGTGTAGAATGATTAATGCAGCTGCAGCATTCTGACTGGGGAATTCTGGGAGTTGAAGTTCCCACATCTTTCAGTTGCCAAGACTGAGAAATACTAAATCAAGGATTCAGATCAGAGGTGGTATTCAGCAGGTTCTGACCAGTTCTGGAGAACCGGTAGCGGAAATTTTGAGTAGTTCAGAGAACCGGCAAATACCACCTCTGTCTGGCCCCTCCCCCATCTATTCTCTGTCTCCCGAGTGCCAGCTGATTGGCTGGGTCTTTTTTTGTTGCCCTGCACAGGAGAACGGAGCTGGAAAGCAGGTTAGTAGGGTGGGGAGGGAATGGGGATTTTGCAGTATCCTTCCCCTGCCATGCCCACCAAGCCACGCCCACCAAGCCACGCCCACAGAACCAGCAGTAAAAAAAAATTGAATCCCACCACTAATTTAGATTATGGCTGAGATAATCTAGGCTCAAGTCTATCCTTCACCATGGAAGCTTGGTTTATATAGGAAAGACATGGAAAAGGAAGTACTATGCGCATCAACTTGTGCTTCGGCAGGAAAATCAAAATATTTGCTCAATAAATGTATCTTCTACTCATCCCTTGATCTTGACCCAAAGACCAGAAAGCAATAAAATAAATTCCATAAACAATTTTGGGTAATAAAATGCTGTACTTGATGAGTGTTCAATTTGGTCCAACCAGATTCTTCTTCGATCCATCCTAAAAAAAATTAGGATAGCCCAGGTGGAGCAGGAGACCAACCTTAATCCAGCATTTTGTTTTTCACAGATGCTAGCGACGGGAATATTGAGACAGGGTCTCCCTTTCATGGCTCTTCTGAAACTAGTATTTAGAAGAACACTACATTCCAATGGAATGATAATATTGTGTTTCAAAACAGCTAACGGTAACAATTTTTTTCTTCCTTTCCTACTGGCCGTTACAATAGAATTTGCCTTTTTCACATATAGGTCAACAGCCTCACCGAATCAACTATGGCTGCCAAGATCGTTTTCCTAAAGAGCTATCGGCAGCTTAAGGCTTCATCGGTCTATACATGATGAAGTTGTCCTCAGGTTTGCTGTGAATCACATACAAAATTAAATAGCTTCAGCATGTTGTACAAATGCGGCCAATGGTATTAACCATCCAGATTAAGTGAGTTGTGCAAATAAGACTCCACGGTTATATTTACATTTCAAGGTAAAATCTTTTTTTTTTTCTTTCAAAAATTCTGCAGTCTTTCCTACTCCAGGGAACCCAATTCTTCCAATGCCTGCATTGGTAATAGAAAAAAAAAAAGTCATTTGGATGCCATCTAGTGGCTTAAGATGCAAATATAAAATATTTAGAACCTATCCAAAGAGTGTGCCTTTTCTTCCAACCCCATCACATTTGAAAAGGCCCAAACAAACACTGGTGTTTGCTTGGCTCCTTTGGGACTATTTGAAACGACACTTAAACCTGTTCACACGACACTGAACAAAATAGACAAGCACATTTTGCCCAACCATGTTTTTAAAATCAACCTGTATTATTAGTTCATTGCTTGGCTAGCTGGGGAAATTCTGGGAGTTGAAATCCACATATCTTAAAGTTACCAAGCTGAAGTGGTTTGTTCAGTAGTGTTATATGAAAATTGAGCAAATAACCATGTACCATGGGAATGAGGGACATGCATACCCAACCACTGCATTATTACACATTCTTAGAAAAGGAGAGCATGCATAATTTATTGTCAGCCTACTTGTCTTTGAAATTTTGATTGATTCCTGAGTTTTTTTTAAAAAATGATATATTGATCCACTTTAGTCTTTTTGAGTTAAAGGTGAATTTTGTATGTGAGGAAGGAACAAATGCCAGTAGTAGCATTAAAGATCTCCACACGTATTTCCATTGTAATCTGTAAATACTGTTTGCAGTGAAGAATACAGGGATCGTGATTTTTTTCAAAGCATTAAATTCTCCAAAAATGTATTTATTAAAATCCTCTAGTTATGTCTACTTATAATACCTATCATCTATCTATCTTTGTAGGCTGTAAATATCTAGGTAACGAATAAAGCATACCAATTTTCTGAACCTAGCACAGAATACAAAGTGCAACGTTGGGTGAGATTTCAGCAATATCACTAGCAAACTTCCTCACTCACCTGGTGCTATTCTTATTTTCTCACATGACAGCTTGCAAGATGAAGCTAATTTGAATTTTATTGGGGTCTATAAATGTTCTGTGCTAACAATCCTTGCTCTATGAAAGGCTTTCCATGGGATTAGATCCCTGATTCTCTAAATTTTTATTACAAGGACAGAATTTTCTGACTAAAGGTTTACTTGGTTTTGAACTTATTCGCTACCTGAACTAGTCTACTTTTTTATCCTGTATTGTGCAGGAACTCAAAGTGATACACATATTACTCTCACTTTTTCCACCCCTATAACAGCAATCATCCGATGTAGATTGGGTTGAGAGCAAGCAACAGACTCATAATCACCCAGTAAACTTCTGGGGCTAGGATGGACAAGGCCTTAGGCCTCCTTGATCTTGTCCAATATCTCAACCATTGTACCACCTCAAAACTCTCAGGAATTTTTACCTTCTGAAACCACCTAAATCAGGGGTATCCAAGTTTGGCAAGACTTGTCAATTTTAACTCCCAGAATCCCTCAGCCAGCATGCAAGTTGATGTCCACAAGCCTTAAAGTTGCCAAAGTTGGACACCCCTGACCTAAATTATCGGATCGTATTAATGTAACACGTTTCTCAACCTCGACAATCTTAAGGACATCAACTCCCAGAATTCCCCAGACAAGCTGAAGTCCACAAATTCTACATCAGTCTGGCTATTCTGTGCATCTGGTGAAGCAAGCGCAGTTCATTGAAATGTATGCCATTTAACTTTTTTAAAAAAATAAAAGTTGCTATCAGACTCTTGGTTTTCTTTTTTCATTTACTTACTTTACTTACTAACCCTACAATTTCAATAACTGAAAGACCAAACTTGCTCTAGAAGATAGTGGGACTATATTGACCTGGGCAGAACTCAGAAGTTAAGTAGAAATCAGCTCAGGTTAATTCATGGATGAGGTGCAGGTTGGAATTCAAGAGCTATTGGTTTGACTGAAAATATCTTGGAAAAAGATACTGAAAAACATCTTCCAAAACATTACCAGGAACATTAGATATTAGCAGGCCTAACCCTTGCTGTAAACCAGAGGTGTCAAACTGGCGGCCCGCAGGCCAGATGTGTCACACACAAGCCACGCCCACCCCAGCTCCACAAATGGGAAAAACATCACAAAACATCATGTGGCGACAATTTGACACGGCGAGTTTAATACACATGCTGTAAACTCACCACCTTCTTGGAAGACCACAAGGGGAATATAGAAAAGCTGAGTCTATAGCATGTATGCTTCCTCAAATACAACAGCCTGATACTTTTCAATATAATTCAAGAGGGCTGTAGCAAGCACAGAAAGAGCAGGAACCCAAGTTTGCACCATATTTAATTTATCTTAAAAAATTGCAGCGACAAGGGAGTCCCATATGCACCAGTTGGTGCTCTTCTGAAGAGTAAGTTAAAATAATGAAATCAAACAATGAGTGAAAACTCAGAATAATGTTTTATTGTGTGGCTATTAAGCAAAACTAAGTTATACATTTCATTTCCTTTGTAAACGGATGATGAAAAGCCTCAAATAATTTTGCTATTTATTCATGGGCAGAATGGCTATATTTGATAAATTGTAACTTTAAATTTTATACAGTAACGTAAATCTTTTAACTAGAAAAAAAAAATCAAAAGCAGCATATTACGAGCCATGGTGATGCAGTAGTTAGAATGCAGTACTGCAGGCTACTTCTCCTGACCTCCAGCTGACTGCAATTTGGCAGTTCAAATCTCACCAGGCTCAAGGTTGACTCAGCAGCCTTCCATCCTTCCAAAGTGTGTAAAATGAGGACCCAGTTTGTTGGGCAATAAGCCGACACTGTAAATCGCTTAGAGGGTTGTAAAGCTCTGTGAAGTAGTATATAAGTCTAAGTTGCTATATTGTTCCCATATGATCCTAGAGGTCCTTAAGTTAATCCTGTCTTCCATAACAGATAAGATAGCTCTTACCACCCCAATGTGGTCGTAGAAAGTTCCAGCTACCTACTTTTCCCACAAGAATATATAGGGTAGATGTGAAATAAATAAGGCAAAGAAGTACCAAGGGGGCACGATGGCTCAGTGGTTAAAGACACTGCGCTTATCAGCTAGAAAGCTGACAGTCTGTGTTCGAGACCCAAGTGCCGTGCGACAGGGTGAGCTCCCATTCTTGCTCCAGTTCCTGCCCACCTAGTAGCTCAAAAGCATGCAAATGAGAGTAGATAAATAGGTACCTGTTCAGTGGGGAGGAAAAAGTACTCTGTATGCCTTGGCGTATAGTGATACTGGTCACATGAACATGGAAATATCTTCAGACAATGCTGGCTTCCTTGACTAAGAAATGGAGATGAGCACCATGCACTAGGGTCGGACATGATTTTTGGACAGGGAAAACCTTTACCTTTAAAAAGTACCAACACCTGTTCTGAACAGTTCCCTAGAATTTTTCAAGTAGCTTGTGTTCCAAAAAGACAAAAATGCATAGGGGTCAATGAGATAATGTAGTCTATGTGTTTTTCCTCCAAGCCACTTTGAAATAAGACTTGACTCCATGTTTTCTTTTCCCAGAGGTAGGACAATAATTCTTGGAAGTGTCACATTATTTTTTAAATGCCATAAAAAAATCAGGTATGTTTCTTATCACACTTTTCAAGTGAAGTAGAATATACTACTTCTACTTTACCAAGAGCATTCAAATTATCTCCTTGGAGCTGCTGGTGAGTTGAATTTGGAACGGTGATCAGAGTTCCCATTTTATTCTGTTTATAACAGGAGTGGGAGAACTCAGGGCCCTCCAGAAGTTGCTGAACTACAATTCTCAGCAACTCCAACTAGTGTGATCAAAGGTGAGAGATGCTGGAAGGTATAGTTCAGCAACTATACTTTAGCAAGGTGACAAATATCTCCCTTCTGTTTATATATACATATGCATTCATACAATTTGGAAAACCACTTGTTGTTAACAGTATCTTTAGATTGTCAAAGAAATTGATCTACACAGATTATATCCTGCAAAAAAATAAAATATCTTGTTTGGTTGCTGCACACTACGCCAACAGAACAGGTACACTTCAAGTGTGTGTGTGTGCATACACGTACGTGCACACAACTGGAATAAGGGTTTGATGTATCTTTTCACATAACATTAGTCGTGCTTTTTCTTCATTTATTAGCATCAGGAGTCAATGTGATGGAACCTAAATATACTAGTGTTCAAGAATTGTGTTGCGATTAAATTAACGTGAACAATATACATTGTGTCTGCATGTTAACAGGATGAAGATCAGTGTCTATTACAGGATTCACACTTCCAAAATGCAAGATTTCCCATCCTCATGGTTTAGCAGTCTGGGAGGTAAGGATGCTTCACTAACCTTGATCTCTGTTCCCAGCCTCTCTGATCTTAGCTGCCATCTGATTTTATGTTTTGTGTTTTTCTTGTTTTCGGTCTTTCTATTTTCTTTTTGCTAACCTCCTTGACCATGTGTAAGTTTGAGAGAGTAAGAAATTACTCAAAATAAGACACGTGTTTATTCTGAGTATGATCTGGCTTTCTTTGATAGAAAGACAGTCTAGTCTCTACTTTTCTATTCACCAGTCAACTCTAAGAATAATCTTCAGTGAACAAGAATTAATACTGGTGTTCCAAGTAAGGATCTCAGCCCTCCTTGTTTTGGTGATACATTTCTAGACTTTGTCATGAACACAAATTCCATCATGGATATTTCTCCAGGTTGTCCACCATAATACGTAGTGCCACCTGGTGCTTTCTGAAGTCTCCAGAGCATGTCCACCAGCTGAAATTTCATATTTCACAAGGCTGTTAATTTTGTAGGTGTGTCTTCTGCCTGGCTGTCATCTTTGTTGCTCTGCGTTGTCAGAGTGTCAGTGGAATCCAAGTGGTTCTCCTCGATTTTTAAAGCAAGGTTGTCAAATCCAGTACTATCTGCCATTGGCAAGGTGGTTGAAGGGACTTCTGCAGTACGGGTTGGGGTGGAGCAATACATGATGAAGCCGATCATGATGACCACAAAGGATAAGAGATACAGCACGGAAAACTGTCCAACATAAAAGACAGAGAGAGAGAGAAAAGTACAGAGATGAATGGTCTCTTCCGTACAAAATGGGTAACCATAAAATCCATCTACTCTAGAATAGAATAATAACTTTATTGACACTTTGAATGTACACTAATCGGCATGCATTAAAATGAAATTTCGTTGCATACAGCTCTCAAAGGGTCATCACCTCCAGTATACACTACTTATGTATATAACAAAATAAATAAATACATAATTATGCCTAAACATGGGAATCCAGAGGAGTGAGGGATAGTACATGCCTTATGACATCACTGCATAAACTATGTAAATGATATAATTTGCATCAATTATATGATGTCATGTATATGATAATATGATACAGACAACATCAACATAGTTTATACGAAATGGATAGGCATTTTGTTGCTTCTTTTGAAAAGCAAAGGCTTTACTGAAACAATAGAGGATTTACTGTATCAAATTCTTTCAATTACATTTGGATAAATTACTGGGATAACTCAAGCTATTTGACAGACAGATTGAGAAGATGGGAGAGGGAGGGTTAATTCTAGGCCTTGTCTCAAACTCACATCACTTTTGCTCTCCTTAGCCAGTTTTACTTCTCACCTTCCCTTCCATTATTGATTCAAACAATTGAACAAAGAAAGGACAGAAGAAAATAAGTCTTAGGTCTAGCATTAGCTTCAACATTCCTTCAAAACTGAAGATGATTTAGCTACAGGAGCAGATTTATGCTGGTATCTACTGGTATCCATCCTGAGCTTTGACCTTGGATTTTGGTATGTATGCTGAAATGTATCTAGCTGTAAGATTTGGATGCAAAAGATCAGAAAAGCATTAAAAACTCTGAAGCACTTTTGGTCCCCCGACGAAGAATAGATGACCTGCCTGCCAAAAATTCTAGAAGAATCTATAAGCAGCTCCAAGCTATCTAGCACTAGTGAAATAATGTACCAGGGCTCCATACATGAGGAAACAGCTCTAATTCAAAGCACCAAATCCATATGCAAAGGTGAAATGCTATCTCAAAACCTTTTGTAACACTCTAATTTGGCAGTCATTCAAATCAGGAGACAGATTGTGAGCACTTTTGCTTCCAATGCTATATTTTCATTGCTGCTGGTAGACAAGGAAATTTACAGAATAGGCCTGTATTTTACCCCCCTTCGACTTGGGGAAGGGAACCTGAAGACTCATTCCCATGGAGACACTGATCTCTGTCACTAAAAGTTAAGAGGCAAGATTTAATCCTTTTAGTCAACAGTTGACCACATGGATCCTCCTAAGACCTTCCAAAATCTCACGAGTGCCCCAGAAAGCTCCTATATTAATATGTTTATCCTGTTTTATTGGCAACTAAATGAAACAAGGTTGGCACTCTCTTCTTTTGAGATGTTTTTCCAACCTCCAAGTCAAGTTTATAGCCCTGAGATTCCCAATATCCAAATATTAACTGGATCCATATCTGCTCAGTTTTTTCAAGGTCAGCAAAGTTTGGCTAGATACCATCGCCTGCTGTAATTAGGCAATAATTATATTAACTATAATTGGCTATATTTCTGTTTAAATATAAATGAAATGAAACCAAGTTCCCTTTTCTGCACTGAGGCCTAGCACGTCACTCAAAATCAAAGTGTGGCCTTTGGTGCCCAAATCGTCATGCATACCTGCTGTAAACATTTAGAAGTCTTTAAATCCAATCACAAATAAAGTTTTGTCCAATTAAACATTGGCCTGCGCATATTTGAATGAATTTCTCTGACGTGTGGAAAGCTCTTCCATCATAAGAAAAATGTAATTAGTTGGTTAAATATAATGCTTCTGAGAAAAGAACCTGTAAAGAATTCTGAGTAAGCTGAAAAGCTTCAATAATCTTTAATCAACAAGAGGTAGTGCAATAAAGGTTCTCATTGGGCGGTAGCTTTATATCATTCCAGCTCCTTATTAAATACTCTGACTCAAAGTTGCTTCTCCAAAACTGCCAGCCATGCTTATTTCCTATCCTTCTGTTAAAGTTGAAATAAATGTGACTGAACTATGGACCTTATGAATGGAAACAAAAGCTGTTTGTGAGTCACTTCCTAACCTTGCCTAATTCAACCCTCAACATTATAAAACGCACAGCAATATATACCAACATTATGGTATAAAGATGTTCTTGTCAGATGCACACAACTTAAAAATCCAATCAGAAGTACAAAGGTGATCTATATAGAAAATAAAGAGCTTTAAAACCAAAAGAAATTACTCTTTTAGGTCTGAAACTAGCTCTAGGCCAAGAACCTGAGGCAGCAGTTTTGCTAGGAAAAATGACCTTTTGGAGTCATAAATCTAAGCTTCTTAAAAGAAGCTTAATCTCATCCCCTCAAAGACATTTCAGCAAATCAGTTTCCAAATGCAGTAGATAATGCTGGTTTATCAATCTAAAACATTCTGTGTTGGAGACTTACAGCAAGCGGACAGTTTCACTAAATAAACCAGGGTAAACTTTCAAGGTCTTATTCAGACTGTATGGTTATTATCTCTGGGCGCTTAACAGAGGGCTGGCCTCTTTCCATGGTAATATATGCTCTGACTTTTCCAAATTGCTATTTTCTCATGCTGTGGCACCAGAAATCTCAGAATTCATGATGCTTTCAGGATTCCAAGTTTTAGGAAAACTCGACACTGCTTGTGTTCATACGTTTGAAGTAATTTACAAAAATTTAGTTTATTCAGTTTGTTTTTAGCTGAGTATGACATGTGATCCCAGCAAATGTAGTCTTGGAATTGTGGTTTTTGACTTACTGAAAAATATAATCAGAATCACGGTAAGTCAACAAATCAGCGTTAAAATGATAGGGAACCTTTATTTAATTCCAAAATTTTTTCCAGGTATAGCCACAAGGAACAGAAATGATGCTTTTTTCATTGGAGAACAGGTTTTAGGAAAATTGGGATAATAAAGAGAGGCTTAATAAATCCAGCAAAGCTGCACACTTCTATATTTTGCTACTAGACTTTGGGGAGGTGACTTATGTGGACTCTTGGGGACATAAAAAGGGACTGGGGGTTCCATGTAGCTACTAGCTGTCCTAATTTAAGCTAATGTGAATAACTGCCTATCTTATTTCTTGTCTGCTGTAGGATCAGACACTTGGCAGTCAAAGTGGCATTACCAAGGAAGGTGGATAACATCCTTCTATTCCCTCAAAACATAAGGTATCTGCAGATACTCTTTTATTCTTTGTGCATCTTATGTAGACCACAGTCTACAAAGTGTTGCAATAAATGTGAATTCTAATCAATGAACTACACTACAATAAATCAGTTAGTTATTAAAGGGTTGCAAAACTGTTGATGCTTTAATTCCTTATTCCAATCATACTTGAACGCGCTCAGTTAGCAGGATCCCAGTCTCACTCACCTTGTAGCCAAACAAGAAAAGTCCAAAGAAAAGACTGTAGAGATCAGCTGTCAGGATGCCCAGATTGACGGAGGTGGCACTGGTCACTCTAATCACAATCGGCATGAAGCTGTACAGCCCAAACATGCACAAGGCAAAAGCCACGAAGAGCAGGGCTGGAAAAGAAAGCAATGACTTGTCAGTTCAGAGACTGAATGCCAAGAATCTAAAAATCAGACAAGGGAAAACACCAATATTGAGAAATTGCTTTTTTCCCCACCGTCAATACTTCTGGAGAACTGTCATAATCTATCTGCAGATTCTCCCAAACTAGGTAAGACAACAATGTCCCTAATCCAGGGATGTCAAACTCAATTTCATTGAGGGCCGCATGAACGTTGTGTCTGACCTCAGGAGGGCAGGGTGGGAATGGCCAGGGTGGTCGTGGCCAGCATGACATCACTTGTGGGGGGGGGGGGGCGCCTGTGGTGACCCAAGCACTCTGCCCAGAAAAACAGGCTTCCAAGCTCTGTTTTCAGCTGCAGTGGCCTCCTGCAACCCTCTGCCAGTGAAAACGGAACAGGAGGGACACACACGGCCCTCCCGAACTCCATTTTCACTGGCAGAGGTGCTGCCGGCCAGTCCTTTACTATTTCCAGGATGGCCCAGTGGGCCAGAACTAAGCATCCCATGGGCCAGATCCAGCCCCTGGGCTTTGAGTTTGACACCCCTGTCCTAATTCCTAATTGCTGGTCTTCCTGGCTGGCAATAAACAGTAGCCGAACAACAAATGGGAATTCAAGACTGCCAAATTAAACACTTATTAACAATTAATGTCATGTCTATAGCCTTCTATAGTAAATAGAGATGACCTCAAAATGAAGACATGTACACAGTGACTTTGTTATGTACTTATCATGCAGGGACGATTAAATTAATTGTAATGATCCTTTATATTCAATGCAGAATGCCTGCATTTTATGCATTTGTTTTCTTAATAAAGCTACATAGTATTGCAAAAAAAAAACCCCAACTCCTCTCTATCCGCACTTTGTTGTTTATTTTAGTTCACTAGGAAACATAGTGAAAGTAGGCCTGATTTGCAAAGTAATTCAGCTTATTTGTCCCTGTGCTGCACAACACTCATACATACCAATTTTCCAGTTCCACTGAATGTTAGCTATGTCTCTATGTTCCACAATAGCTCTAAAAATGGCAAGGAAAAAGAGGAGAAAGAATAAAAACAGAAAAGAAATGTTCATTAAAATGTGAAGGTATTGTTTTCAGAGTCTTGAATAAAATAACAAGCAATAGATTAAATTAATAGACAAATCAGTTTACAACAAATTAACCTTTACTTATAAGTTAATCCCAGAGGGTTCAGTAGAGACCATCTCAAGTCAGAATGTATAGAATCACAGCTTTGAGATACATTTTCTTGCTCCTTAAAGAACAGATTTATAACAGTATAAACCTTTAGAGAAAGGAGCCCAATGTGCCAATTAAATTTTCTTAAAATAAAACAATGTGCTACAAAGTGTTGGGAGGTAGCATACAGATGATGATGATATATTAAATATGACGTTTTAGAAAGCAGAGAAATAAGTTTTTGATGAATTGAAAACTGTAACACACAAGTTAAGAGGGTTTTTTTTTAAAAAAAAAAAATAACCCAGAACTTTCCAAATAAAAACCTACAAATGGTTTTATTGCATTCAAGTACTCAAGTCCATAGCTCAACGTTTGGCATATCAAAAAATAGGTATTCATAGTATATCATAATAGAAAAGAAGTTTACTAACTGAAACATATTTACTTGTTCAATCAATCAAGAATTCAGTCAGGACAGATGATTAAAGTGGAAATTAAAAATATACTTCCACATCATTTTCTCAAAGTTAATCAGCATTTTATAAAGAAGCTAAATAAGTATATTTATTCTTTAACAATTTTTGTCACTTCTTTTTATCAGAAATCTCTTGTTCTAAAACAAAAATAAAATAAAATAGGGTTTTGAAAATTGTTCCCTAAATGCTGATACCTCCTGTGTGTGTGTGTGTGTGTGTGTGTGTGTGTGTGTGTGTGTGTGTTATTAGAATAGAACAAGAACTTTATTGATTTAGTCATTTGGCCATATCAAAAGTATAAAACTGGTCCAAATATACAAGTAAATGCAAAGAAAACAATAGTACATAGCATATCATTAGCCTTGGTGTAAATATTTCGTCCTCTTCTAAATGGCCTTTGATACAAAGAGTATGGTCTGACTAATAATATGCAGGTTTGTTCCCTGACCTCCCTTGAACTATTTCAATTATATAAGGAACCACACCAGTGGTGAAATGCTACCAGTTTGGCCCAGTTCAGAACAGGTAGTAAAAAAAAAGCTCCAATAATCAGCTGAGAGGAAAAAGAAGAGAAAAGCACAGGAAGAGATAAAGAAAAGTGCAGTCCTGCTCTCCCCTGCGCTTTTTTCTTCTTTATCCTCTCAGCTGATTGGCGCGGCAGAGCCTCAGCTGGTTTTTGGAAAGCTGTGTGTGTGCATTAGGTGCGTGCAAGCACGAATTAGGTGCGTGCAAGCACGAATTAGGTGCGTGCAAGAACAAATTAGGTGCGTGCAGGGGTGGGATTCAAACATTTTAACAACCGGTTCTGTGGGCATGGCTTAAATGATGGGTGTGGCTTGGTGGTCATGTGACTGGGTGGACATGGCTTGGTGGTCATGTTATTGGCTAGGCGTGGCCAACTCAATATCACTCACATCGAGGCACGCATCTCCTCACCTGGACTCTCATGACTGTGGGGATGCTGCAACAGTCGTAAGTGTGAAAAATGGTCATAAGTGACTTTTTTTCAGTGGCATTGTAACTTTGAATGGCCACGCCACACAAGCAAAGTACCAGCAAAGGAGGGAAAAAAAACTCCAGAGACGTTCCTGAGACAGGAAGTCTAGTCCTGCCAAGAATGTAATAACGGAGAGGCAGTTTCTGTAAACAACACCAGAATGTTTCCTTCCTGCCTTCCTTACAGGATTAGGCCAGTAATTTCTTCTAACAACCGGTTCTCCGAACTGCTTAGAATGTTAACAACCGGTTCTAGCGAATAGATGCGAACTGGTAGAATCCCACCCCTGGGTGTGTGCATGCACAAATTAAATGCATGCACACATGAATTAGATGCATGCATGCACAAAGTGTGCGATCACTGAACCGGTAGGAAAACTGCTAGAATCCCACCATTGAACCACACCCAGAAAATCAGATTGCTATTAATATTAACTATTACTTAAGAAACAGTATGAAGAACACTGTACTAGCAGCGAATTTACAGCTTTAAGTCTCTAGTTCATACAATCAAATAAATCAGTATGGAGAAGGTGAACTGAATAGAACAGAACAGAACAGAATTAGAACAGAACATAATTCTTTATTGGCCAACTGTAATTGGACACTAGGAATTTGTCTTTGGTGCATTTGCTCTCAGTGTACATAAAAACATACATAAACAGTAACTCAGTCCAAATGACAAAAAACACGAGAACTGTTTCAAATAATTCAAAAAGACTCTGTTTTAACTATGTAATTACAAATAAGTGTTGGAAATTCAAAGGACCAACATAGGTGCCTTACTACAAATTCTAAAGTAAATAAGCAAACATAGAAATGAACCAATGAGAAAAATAGTTGAATGTCTGCTTACTGAAACCGTGAAAGATAAAACAGTCTGTAGCAATGAATGTAGAAAGTCCAGATCTGAACCCACTAATGGTTAATCTCATAGAATCCTTAATTCCATGACTAATTCTATGAAAGTCAAAGAGATTATTTGCATGAATAACCATTGGCTGGACTTGACAATCCATTTGACTGCAGTTAGCTCACAGACTGATAAACACTGAATTCAGGCTATGAATTGTGCACATTGGATCAGGCAAGCAAATCAAAACGTATTTATCTTCAATTGTCAGGTGAAATCTGAGTTTCCCCTATAACCTTGTGTCCTGTTTATTACAGAATGTCCTATACATTATATGTGTAAGACAAGGGTGTAAGACAACTAGGCAAGTTTAAGACTTGTGAACTTCAACTCCCAGAATTCCTGAGCTAACGTGACTGCAAGAGATATATGAAAAGACACAAAAAGTTGACAAGAAGCAATAAGTATAAGAAAGCTTGGTGGCCCAAGTCAAGAAATGTGAAGCTCTCTCCTGGTTATACCCTTTCAAGTCTACAGATGCTCAAACACCCACAAAGGTTAATTGCGATGTTAACAATGGGTTAATAATTACACCCACCAATACACAGAAGAGAAACCACCCTGTTCTGTGAATGGTTTCCTTTAATTACAATTAAAATACATATAGTAGATTCTTACAGCTGCAGAGCGCTGATAACAGTCCCAAACAAGCCCACCATTCCTAGAAACTCCATTCTGCTCAGATTTTTCACAATGTATTCCTCACTCACATTCGAAATGGCATATAATGAAGCACCAAGGAGGACTAAGACATCTCCAACCACCACGTCACTTCCTGCACAGAAAACAGGGACAATAACAACAGAGGGAATTTGAATGGTAAAATTAAAAGGATGATTAGTAACATTTCCAATATTAACCAGAACAACTAGACACACAGACAGTTTTTTCCCAAATGCCATCACTCTGCTAAACAAATAATTTCCTCAACACTGTCCAAATATTTACAAAGTCTGCACTACTATTACTATTAATCTTTTTATCACTCCTTATCACCCATCCCCTCCCACTTGTAACTGTATGACTGTAACTTTGTCGCTTGTATCCTTACAATTTATATTGACTGTTTCCTAGTATGATTTGATTGCTTATTGTACCCTATGACTATTATTAAGTGTTGTATCTTATGATTCTTGACTCTTGACAAATGTATCTTTTCTTTTATGTACACTGAGAGCATTTGCACCAAGACAAATTCCTTGTATGTCCAATCACAATTGGCCAATAAAGAATTCTATTCTATTCTATTCTATTCTATTCTATTCTATTCTATTCTATTCTGTTCTGTTCTGTTCTGTTCTGTTCTGTTCTGTTCTGTTGTGTTCTATTCTATTCTATTCTATTCTGTTCTGTTCTATTCTGTTCTATTCTATTCTATTCTATTCTATTCTATTCTATTCTATTCTATTCTATT